TCAATCGTCACTTTCATAAAAACTCATTAATTTATTATTTTAATCCGTTATTTAATTATTTAATTCAATTTATTATAATCCGCTACCATATATCTAATTTATAAATTCAATAGGTTACAAAACAAGTTCCATCTTTAACCAATCGCAGTTTAAACTAGAATCATCGTGTCAATTTCTCCTCTGTCTGTCTATTTTCTCCGTCTCCCTGCAGCCCCCAGATGGGACCTATGACCCTAACCAACCATTTTGTTTTGTAGGCTCAGCACGACCTCATGTCGTAGTTTTTAGCCCCGTAAAATCAACACGTGTCCTAATCTCGTGTCATAAACTCCCCCTTTCTGTAGTGTAGTATCGCAAAATTAAACGCATGCGCACAGCCATTCAAAAATCCCTCTTCACCGTGGAAGGAAGATTCTCTACTCTCTCTCCCCAAACAGACAGAATAACATTCCAGCTGTAACTCCCGTTTCCCCCTTATAGTCAAACAACATTTAACAGCGCTCACAAAACACATAACCTGACTTAAACACAGAGACAAATTTAAGAGACTTTAATCCATCGCAATGGAATCTCTAAGGATACGTTAGCATGTAGCACACAACACAATTAGCATTAGCCTCTAGCCACGATGTACCATGTAGCATGAAACACACTCCCATTTAGCCGACATTAGCCTTAGCCTCTAGCTAACTGCGGCCTACCCAGCCCTAAGTAGCCTGCACTGCCCTATCAATTTTAAACATATTTATCCTACCGTTTTTGCTACCGGGACTAATGACCATTACACCGAGAAATCAGACTCAATCAAACATCCCGTCGGACGAGAGTCAAATCATAATTACAATCAGATAAACCCCATGAATCCGAGCTCTCTTTAAGAAAAAAGAAACCCACCGTCCACCCATTCTATCGTGTAAACGGATTACCGGCCCGACATCTAAAATGGCCCCCCCTGGAGGTCTTAAATGGTACAGTGCCCTAAAGAATGCGCATATCTGCCTTAATCGTCACTTCAATACTTAAATCCTACCGTTTAATGCTCTACATTCCAATTATCTGCCGTTTCAATGGAATAAATTTTAGCAGACTCTAGTCGACCACAATAACGCCACCGAGGCCAGGTCATAATGGAACATCTCTCCAGTGTACACAAGTCATATCCAATCTAACAAACTCCGAAGCGGTAAGAACACACTCACCCTTTTTTGGCCATGCCTCAGAGCAGGTTAGCCTGGCGGTTGACTGAAACAAGGAAGAGACGCAAACCCAGCCCCACGTTGGGCGCCATTATGTCGTATATGATGAATGGTGGTCATTATTGCCGTCAACAAAGAGTCCGTTTTATGCTGCATCGTGTTAGAGGCTTTTAATAAAATCACGAGGTTTACAGCATAAATGACAGGTGACATGACACCCGGAAAACGGCTCCCCAATTGCCATGGCCGTTCTGACGTCTTCCTCGCCTAACCCCCCTATTTATAAACAACGAAGCTGACCTCTTCTGGCCAATCCCCAGTCTCCAAGACACTTCCGGTCTGCTGGATGTGGCGTTACACCTAAAACCTTCCCTCTGGATACTAACATAAACACATTCCATTTCTTCATGAAAACCATTTAACAAAGGCATAATCTTCAGATACTAGACCTGCTCCTGCTGACTCTCTATGATGACCAGGTGTCCTCCGTCGCGGATGCAGGCGTACTGACTCTGTTCCCAGGTCAGTTTGTCTTTAGAGAAGTAGTAACATGATCCATTGTAGAACTCCCAGCCAGGAGAACACAGCTGACTGGTATTACATCTCTTCTGACTCCCTGTAAGAGGGAGAGGAGAGACAAGAACACACCAGAAGACAAGGAGACAAGAGACAATGAGATGCAATTTGTATTTGATGACTAACAGTAGTACAGTATATCCTATATTTATATGTGTAGCCAGTATATACAGTATAATAATATAAGTGTACAGTATAATATTCAGTACTATATTATATCCTATATGTATATGTGTATCCTGTATATCCCGTATAATAATATAAGTATACAGTATAATATTCAGTATTAGAATATATGGTATATTATAACTGTACATAAGGCATCCACTTTTGTACTCTCATGCGTGGGAGGACAGAACTAACCTTGGATGGTTGCCAGGAGATCTTTGACCCTAGTCAGGTTGGCCTTACAGTCTTGAAGCTCTGAGAATAACAGCTCTCTCTGGACTAAGAACAGAAGAGATTGATATCTTATTAGAAGACAGTGTAGTTCTCTTGAATTCGAGCCATAATGTAGGGCATTTGGCAAATGAAAGAGTGACCTACAAAATAACTGTTTATTTATTGTATAAATTGTTTTAGGGGGCAAATCAGCTTTAATGTTGTAGATAGAGTGTGGATTCTATCAATGTAATTGTCTGCATCATTTCCAATCCCTCATATTTTTTGTAAATATATATATATTATTTTGTAAATATATTTTTCTTTATTATAAAATAACTGTTGAATTTAGGCCATAATACAAAGGTATGCATTTGGCGCATAAAACATTTGAAGTACAAAATGACGTTCCAACGCACTTCACCACACTCATATGACTAAGTTTCCATTAGGGCAGGACTTTTCCCTGGTCAAGAAAAACCCCTCTCCTTCCTCATATACAGTGCAATGATAGCATATACAATATTCAAACATGTTTTGGGGAAGCAATACTACTGCAGTGTAAATTTAATCCTAATCTTGATAACATGGAACTTTGTATTGAAATGAGAAGTTTTAGTTAAATTGGGTTCAACTTCCCCTTTACATTAGTATGTCAAATCAAACAAGTATTATTTGTCACGCCGAATACAACTGGTGTAGACTTTACCGTGAAATTCTTGCTTATGAGCCCTTCCCTAAAATGCAGAGTTTAAAATAAAAACAAAATAATAACACAAGAGGAATAAAATAAAATACAAAAGAATGGAGCTATATACAGGGAGTACGAGTATCAGATTAATATGCTGAGGTATTTGAGGTAGATATGTACATGAAGGCAGGGTAAAGTGACTAGGCATCAGGATGGATCATAATAAGAGTAAAATAAAGAACAGAGTAGCAGCAGCAGCAAATTATGAGTATAAAAGTGTGTGTGTGTAATGTGTATGTATGTGTGTTTTTGTTGTGTCGGTCTGCGTGTGTGTGTTATGTTTGTGTGTGTGTGTGTATGTAGTGTATGTGAATGTGGGTCAGTCGTGGGTGAACAGGGAGTACAGGAGGGGACTAAGCACACACCCCTGAGGGGCCCCCGTGTTGAGGGTCAGCGTGGTGGAGGTGTTGTTGCCTACCCTCACCACCTGGGGCCGGCCTGTCAGGAAGTCCAGGATCCAGTTGCAGAGGGAGGTGTTCAGTCCCAGGGTCCTTAGCTTGGTAATGATATTGGAGGGGACTATGGTGTTGAACGCTGAGCTGTAGTCTATGTACAGCATTCTCACATAGTTATTTCACCTCTTGTCCAGGTGGGAGAGGGCAGTGTGAAGTGCAATTGAGATTGCTTCATCTGTGGATCTGTAGTGCATGTGAATTGGTGTGGGTCTAGGCTGTCTGGGATGATGGTGTTAATGTGTGTCATGACCAGCCTTTAAAAGCACTTCAATAATTACAGATATGTAATGACAATATTCTGATATGAATAGGAGAACAGCAGCTAGTCAGTCCCATGTCAGTAGAGTCCTGCTCTAGACTACCTACCTGTTATGTTGTGGCTCTCATTCTGCAGTCTCTTATAGTTGTCTTGCAGTTCATGCAGTTTCCCTGTTATGAAAGAGCAAATAATATGGATGAATAACATTCATTTATTTACATATCTAACAATAAAGTAAGAAAGTAAACCTTGTCCAAGCTAGAATTACCTATTATCTAACCATAGTCCTATTAAAATGAAACAATATGTTATTCATATATTACAGTGAAACGGCAGTATTTGAATCTGAGCCAGTCCCCCATTGACAAACTGCACCTTAATGATTTATATGGATTTTCTCAAACATTTATAGAAGGGGTTGATAATGGTAAAGACCTCTGGATCATTGATATTCTCACCTGTTAGATTCTCTTTCATCTGGGCAAAGCGAGCCTCCTCAGCTTGAAGACTAGTCATGTTGGAAGAATCTGGAACAGAGACAAGGAGACAAGATGGAGGGTAATTGTTCTTCTCTTGTGTATCACACTATCGTACCAACCTGAAATGTACTGGTCTGGGGTGGCTTGGATATTTTCTCTGCACATTGTCCTTTTCAGCAGAGTTCCAGGCCAACAACTACAGTGGATGCATAACCAGTTCGGTTCAGTAGTGTAAAAGGGTCAGGGTTCAGTAAAATGGTTCTATACTCACAGAGGACTCCCAGAGTGATAGCCAGACCCAGCAGTAGAACACAGAGACACGCCAGGGTCACCACGGGAACACTCCCAGACCCTCCCTCCGGGATTGCAGCCTTTGACCCCACTGGGGGAGAGGGGTCACTAGTGTCAGGGTCACTTCCTGGAAAAGGAGTGGATGTCAGAGGTTATAAGGTCATAAGGTTAAATAAGGGGTACTTAATGTAACCCTTTGCTAACTGTAACACACACACACCTCACCTTTCCCAGGATCCTCCTGCTCTCTAGCTCTACCTCCTGGTTTTCTGACCTCAGAGTATGTGACATCCTCTTCACGTTCGGCTACTCCTATGGTTACAGAGATATGAAGAAAGAAATTGTTCTTTTTTTTCATTTATTTTATATATATTGCACCCCATGCGTGATTATATTATTTCCCTAAAACCAACCTCATGGTGATTACCCCCTATTAGAATTGTACCATTCTAGTTTCTCTCTCACATTCCACTATCGCAACATTCTATTAGTATTGTACCATTCTAGTTTCTCTCACACATTCCACTATCTCAACATTCTATTAGTATTGTACCATTCTAGTTTCTCTCACACATTCCACTATCTCAACATTCTATTAGAAATGTACCATTCTAGTACCTCTCTAAGAATCCACTATATCAATATTATATTAGCAATGTATCGGTCTACACTGAAAATATATATAAACGCAACATCTAAGGTGTTGGTCCCATGTTTCATGAGCTGAAATAAAAGATCCCAGAAATGTTCCATTTGCACAAAAAGCTTATTGCTCTCAAATTATGTAGACAAATATGTTCACTTCCCTGTTAGTGAGAATTTCTCCTTTGCCAAGATAATCCATCCACCTGACAGGTGTGGGATATCAAGAAGCTGATTAAACAGCATGATCATTACACAGGTGCACCTTGTGCTGGGGACAATAAAGGCCACTCTAAAATGTGCAGTTTTGTCACACAACACAATGCAACAGATACATTTCTCTACCATAAGCCACCTCAAACGTTGTTTTAGAGAATTTGGCAGTCCGTTCAACTGGCCTCACAACCGCAGACCTTGTGTATGGTGTCGTGTGGGTGAGCAGTTTGCTGATGTCAACGTTGTGAACAGAGTGCCCCATGGTGGTGGTGGGGTTATGGTATGGGCAGTCATAAACTACGGACAACGTACACGATTGTATTTTATCGATTTGCAATTTGAATGCACAAAAATTCCGTAACGAGATCTTGAGGTCATTGTAAGGCCCATTTTTTTGTAGGTATCTATGACCAACAGATGCATATCTGTATTCCCAGTCATGTGACATCCGTAGATTAGAGCCTAATTAATTAATTTCAATTGACTGATTTCCTTATATGAACTGTAACTCAGTAAAATCTTTTAAATTGTTGCTTGTGGCATTCATATTTTTGTTCAGTATAGTTTCTCTCTCACAATCAACTGTATCAACATTCTATTAGAAATGTACCATTTTAGTTCCTCTCTCTCACAATCCACTATCTCAACATTCTATTAGAAATGTACCATTCTATTTCCTCTCTCACGATCCACTATCTCAACATTCTATAAGAAATGTCCCATTCTAGTTCCTCTCTTACAATCCACTATCTCAATATTCTTTCCTTTGAGCTCTACTAGGTTAGAGTCCCCTGACTGGAAGGTCCAACATGCAAACCATTTTATTAACTGTTAGGGTAACTAACCAATCTAATATTCTAATACAGCACATCTGAAGAAAAGCTAACTTTATTGTCAAGAGAAATGAGGAAACACTTTTGGCCATGAACCAAATGTTACAGGTTGATGCTGTCTGTCTGTCTTTCTGTCTGTATGTCTGTCTGGAAGTTGGTTCACAGTGTGAAATCCAACAGACATGTCCAGAGTGTGACGAATAACATCTACTTTACATGGAACTGTCATCTTCTCATGCCCTTTACATTGCACTAATACTGTACATATCCTTCAAAACAGGATTATATATGGAGAACCATTGTTGAGGCCCTATGGAATATATTCAAAAGGAAATGGCCAAAAACTTTGCACTTTACATAATAATGCTATAGTACATTCTAAAAGAGATGCCCACTGACTCATACAATACCACATGTTAAACATTTAGTACTAATTCATATTTATCCTCAAGTACAGTTACAAACACACTTCAGAAAAGCTCATATTGATCCCAACCAAAATATGTCTTATTTTCCCTCTAGCCCCTGGGTTTACACAGTTTTGGTCAGACCCGTCCTTAAACGAACGTGACAGAAGATCCCACCAAACACGGACCAAGCAGCGTGCCCAGGAGCAAACACCCTGGACACAGGTGGGGAAGATTTGGTCTTGGGAGGAGATATTTGCGGGGAAAGGACCCTGGGCGAAGAAGGAAGCCCAGGCAGGAGAGGAGCAACGGCAACACAGAAGGCGCCGGCCGAGGAGGAAGCCCGAGAGGCAGCCCCAATACATTTTTTTGGGGGGGCTAAAGGAGTGGTCGGGGAGCGAGAGAGAAGAGCCCCGACCACTGCACCCAGTGGGTTTCCAGGTTGAGTCCCTACGACCATGGGGAAGAAGAGTGGGAACAGTTTTATACTGAGGAGTCGGAGGATGACGACGACCACGATTAGTTTCTGTTCCCTAACTCGTGGGGGCTCCCGGAGGAGTCCTCACTGGAGGAGGAGTGCCGAGAGAGAGAGAAAGATCGGATCTGCAGGGTAAGAGAGGAGGCCACCACATTACGGGGGCTGATAGCGAGAATAGAGCGGGAGAGCTCCATTCAAGAGGAGGCACTGCAGGAGGCTCGTAGGGAGAAGGAGGAAGTAGATTCACGGAGAGAGGAGCTGGTTAGGCAACATAAGGAGCGTGGGTTAATAGAGGAACCCAAGTATGCAGAGATACGCACTGTATCGCCAGTGCGCATGCACAGCCCAGTGCGTTCTGTGCCAGCGCCCCGCACGTATCGTGTGAAAGTGGGCAGCCAGCCAGGACGGGTAGTGCCGGCTCAACGTTCCTGGTCTCCAGTGCACCTCACCAGTCCTGTTCGGCCCGTATCTGCTCCTCGCACCAAGCCAGTGGTGTGTGTCCCCAGTCTGGCCCGGCCCGTTCCTGCTCCTCGCACCAAACCAGTGGTGCGTGTCTCCAGTCCGGCCCGGCCCATTCCTGCTTCTCGCACCAGACCTGTGGTGTGTCTCTCCAGTCCGGCCTGGCCCGTTCCTGTTCCTCGCACCAGGCCAGTGGTGCGTGTTCCCAGTCCGGTACGACCCGTGCCTGCTACCCGCACCAAGCCAGTGGTGCGTGTTCCCAGTCCGGCCCGTTCCTGTTCCTCGCACCAAGCCAGTGGTGCGTGTTCCCAGTCCGGCCCGGCCCGTTCCTGCTCCTCGCACCAAGCCAGTGGTGCGTGTTCCTAGTCCGGTCCGGCCCGTGCCTGCTCCTCGCACCAAGCCAGTGGTGCGTGTGTCCAGTCCGGCATGGCCCGTGCCCGCTCCACCGGTGCCGGCTCCGGTCAGCAGCTCCACTCCGGAGCCAGAGCAGTCCGCTCCACCGGTGCCCAGTCCAGCTCCGGTCAGCGGCTCCAGTCCGGAGCCAGAGCAGTTCGCTCCACCGGTGCCCAGTCCAACTCCAGTCAGCGGCTCCAGTCCAGACCCAGACGTCAGTCCCTCTCCAGGTTCGGGGTCTCCCACACCAGGGTCCAGACAGGGCTTGGTGCATCGTGGGAGAAAGGAGAGGGGAAGCAGCGTGCCGAGGTCCAGACCAGACCAGGGGCGTAACGGGGAGGCTGAGAGAATGTGGTCGTCACGCCCGGAGCCGGATCCGCCTCCGAGGTGGAATGCCCACCCGGATCCTACCCTGCCCTGTTATGTAAGGTTTGTGCGGTCGGAGTCTGCACCTTTGGGGGGGGGGGGGGGGGGGGGGGGGGGGGGGGGGGGTACTGTCACACCCTGACGTATGGGACTCTAGGATGTTGAGTCAGGGTGTGGAGTTCTATGTTGTATTTTCTATGTTCTCAGTCTAGGTGTTGTATTTCTATGTTTGGTCGGGTGTGATTCCCAATCAGAGACAGCTGTCGCTCGTTGTCTCTGATTGGGGATCATACTTAGGCAGCCTGTTTGCATTCAGTTGTTGTGGGATCTTGTTCCGTGTAGAGGCTTGTGTTGTGTTTAGCCTGTGGACTTCACGTTACGTTGTTTTGTTGTTTTGTTCGTGTGTTTATCTTTAAAATAAACATGTATGCATTTCACGCTGCGCCTTGGTCTGACCCGTCCTTAAACGAACGTGACAATTAAATAAAAATATTCCTTATGATATTCCTTATGATTTGTTCTTTGACTGTCTTTTTTTTGCCATTTTGAATGTGTTTTTCAATGTGTTTCCATGGGCTATAGTAGTAAAGGCCAAATTCAATATTTTATCAAATTATTATAATATAATAATTTTTATACATACAGAGGCCTTTCAAGGTGTCGAAAGCGTTGCACAGGGATGCTGGCCGATGTTGACTCCAATGCTTCCCACAGTTGTGTCAAGTTGGCTGGATGTCCTTTTGGTGGTGGATCATTATTGTTGATGCACACGAGGAACTGTTGAGTGTAAAAACCCCAGCAGTGTTGCATTTCTTGACACAAACCGGTGCGCCTGGCAACTACTACCATAATCCGTTCAAATCTTTTGTCTTGCCCATTCACCCTCTGAATGGCACACGTACACAATCCATGTCTCGATTGTCTCAAGGGGTAAAAATCCTTCTTTAACCCGTCTCTTACAGTGATTTAACATTTGATATCAATAATTCATCACAGCGTTCACCTGGTTTCACTTGGTCAGTGTATGTAATGGAAAGAGCAGGTGTTCTTCATGTTTTACACACTCAGTATATACAGCCTTCTTCTGTTACTAACTCCTTGTTGAATTATGACATTTCAACCCTCGCCCCCCAAGGTGATGAAATGTTGTATTGTAAACTTATGTTTGAAAACTAATAAAACGATATAAATGAGAGAGAATAAAGAGGAGGAGAGACTCACCTTTAGAAACTTCACTTTCTGCTCCAGCATCTTGGTTCTGATGCCGAGTGAATGTAACATCGGAGTAGACGATTTCACCAGACATCATCACTACTCTAAGTCCTCTCTCAGAGTGGAGACCAGAAGAGGAAGAAGTCCCTTAACATCACACATGCTCACTCATGAAAATTCCACAAACACTCACACACTCAAGCACACACACAATAGTAGTACACAAACACATCTGTTACGGAATACAAAGGATGTTATGCAAACAACATGCACACACACACACACGTCCCAGGAGAATGTTGAGTAAGGGGTGTTGAGGTGCAGTAAAACATGAATATTCAGTTCCTATTTACCTCTGGGCTCCATTTGAATATATGGTAAAGTAGAACTTCATTTGAATATGTTGTAAACTATCAACCCTGTCATTGAACTGTATTACTGATGCCATCTCTAAAGGCATAGCCAAGACAGTTGACTTGTCATGCTCATTCAAACATGGCCTGTAGAATTTACAGTAGCTAGGATTCTAGCTAGCTGTAATTATATAGAGATATAACATTATCTGTCAGTTAAGTATCATTCATGATAGATGGTTTGTCACGATCGTTGATGAACGATAAGGACCAAGGCGCAGCGTGATATGCCAACATGTTTATTTAACGAATAAACACAACGACAAAACAATAAACTAACGACACGTGACGTCCTAAGGTACACACAACATACCTCACACGGAACAAGATCCCACCACTAACTAGTGCCAAAAGGCTGCCTAAGTATGGTCCCCAATCAGAGACAATGAGCGACAGCTGCCTCTGATTGGGAACCACACCGGCCAACATAGAAATAGACATACTAGAACATCAACATAGAAATATACAACATAGAACATACACACCCTGACTCAACATATACGAGTCCCTTGAGTCAGGGCGTGACATGGTTAAAGAGAGACAGCAGATAATACATTATTTCCATAATCCTAATATAATATATCACATCATATATCATCAAATAATGTTTTATAATAATCATTTCATAATGACAGCTCCTGTCAATTTGACTATTTGTGTGGGCTCTCTTGAAGCACGATACTGACAGCTGTGGAAGCAACTGTTGTTTTCTGTGAATATATTTGTATAACCACTGACACTATGAAAGTGGTACTATTCTCATATTAACATACTGTCTCTGCTGACTGTTGTCCAAGACAGGTAAATGATGTGGTGAGGTGTGTTCAGATTAGGTATTAGTAATTTGGTCCTCTTTCATGGTTTTAAAATGACCAAATATGAACCAATATGAAATACTCAACAACAACAACAACAACAACAACAACAACAACAACAACAACTACTACTACTACTACTACTACTAGTACTACTACTACTAGTACTACTACTACTACTACTGTATCACCATGTCCTACATTACATTTTACAAACATTACTATATCACTGTGTTATTCTAGCAGGACTCAACAAAAAGAGAGATGTGTATCAGTGCACCAATGTCATGGTATTGTTGTCAGGTGAAAGAACTCTATAATGTGTTGCATGGAGAAGACATGTTGAGATCCAGAACCATCTTACTGAATGTATAACATTCTCAGTTGTCCACATTACATTCATATGATACTGTGTATACTGTAGTGTACATCCAATACATTCCACTAGGTGTCTCATCAGTCCCATTATTTACAATATTTACATCATCAACAGTGGTAGTAGCAGAGACGTAAGAGCAAACGAGACATTTCACTTGCTCCTTTTTTGTGCTTCATATACTGTCAGTCAATGAATTAAGCAGATCAGATCCAGCTGCTATCACATTGGTGTCTATGGGAGAGCCACCCCTTTTAGCTTCAATATGCAACCTTTTGGGCAACCCGACCAAATTCACATAGAAATGTGAGTTATAGATCTGTCATTCTCATTGAAAGCATATCTAAGATGTGGTAGATATGTTCTATGGGCGCTATTTCTATCCTCCCAGTTCTTAAGTTACGTTTTTTCTTTGTACACCAGCTTCAAACATCTGAAAATATCATATATTTGTGGTTACTGAAAATATATTTCACAGCGGTTTAGATGGTTCAATTATTTTCTATACTATACAGCGCTTGTTTTGTCACATATACTGAAATGGTGAAGCAATTTCTGAATATTGGACCTTTCAGTATTAAGCAGATTGGAACATAGATTTATTTTTTAATGGTAAGCTTTTTGACCATTCAAAACAAAGGCTGGACCACTTAAGTCAGTTGTTTGTGTGTATGCCTCTCAAGACACAAAATACTGTGCACAAAGGCTGAGAAACTTTACACTGGTTGTCATAGTTACCACAAACCAACAACCCTCCTCAACCAGAGATGAGTTGAGTGGTTATGGTTTGATCTCTTCCTCTTTAGCAGTGAGGGTTTGTCTGTGAAATGGTATTTTTCCATTGTGGGTGGAGAGAGACAAATAGAGAAATGGTTGTAGATGCTAATGAGTAGACCTATGCATGGGACAAGTGTGTGGGGCTTTTTTACCAATGTTATTTTAGAATACAGTATACTGTATTTCACTTGTCATATTCATTTCTCAAGATCATCTACACACAGTTGACCTCCAAATAGCTACAGTGGGGTCCGAAATTATTGACACCCTTGATGAAGATGAGCAATAATGACTGTATAAAATAAATAATTCAAATACTGAGCTATATTTTAAGCAAAAAAAAGGGTGAAATTATATAATTTACACTAATAAAATTGCTCAGAGAAATACATTTGTTTAACAAATAGTCTTTTCTCTCTAAAAGGTAGGGATCAAAATTATGGACACCGCTAAAGATTCTTCTAAATAAAGTAGTCAAAAGTTTAGTGGGGTCCTATATTCCTAGCACGCAATGACTATATCAAGCTTGCGACTCTACAAACTTGTTGGATGCATTAGCAGTTAATTTGGTTGTGTTTCAGATTATTTTGTGCCCAACAGAAATGAATGGTAAATAATATGTTGTGTCATTTTGAAGTCAGTTTGATTATAAATAAGAATAGAATATGTTTCTAAACACTTCTATATTAATGTGGCTGCTAACATGATTAAGGATAATCCTGATTGAATTGTGAATAATGATGAGTGAGAAAGTTACAGAGTGTCAAAGATCATACCCCCGAGACATGCTAACCTCTCACAATTACCAAAAACAGGGGAGGTTCTTAATTACAGTAAAAGTGACTCCAAAAATACATTATTTACGCACCGACCCTAGTCCGCCACAGTGCCCGGAGGGTCGGAAGTACGTTCCGCTCGAGACCACTCCATCAGAGCCCTCTCCTGCCACGAAATAGATGGGTTATGGGTACTCAACCAGGGCAGGCCCAGCACCACCGGATACGCAGGAGAGGCAATCAGAAATAGCTGAATCATCTCCTGATGACCCCCCTGCGCACACATCCTAAGTGGCGCAGTGACCTCCCTGATCAAGCCCGCCCCCAACGGACGGCTATCTAGGGCATGAACGGGGAAAGGGACATCAACAGGAACAGTGAAATGGACGGACCCCCCTCGGGACGTCCGCGGGTAGCTAGCAGGTTATCCAGCCTGTCCCTACAGGCCAGCTCCCGACGGACGTCCTCTCGTAGACTACATCTGTAGTGATCGACGAGAGCCCGATCATTCCACCCTGCATCCGCCGCTAGAGTACGAAATTCGAGAGCGAACTCCTGGGCACTCCTCCTCCCCTGCCGGAGGAAGACCAGACGCTCCCCCGCCGCTTTCCCCTCCGGGGGATGGTCAAACACCGCCCTGAAGCGGCGGGAGAACTCGTCGTAGGTTATAGTGTCTGCGTCGATCCTCCTCCACTCCGCGTTGGCCCATGCCAACGCCTTCCCGGACAGGCAGGAGATCAGGGCGGACACGCTCTCATGTCCCGAGGGCGCCGGGTGCACGGTGGCCAGGTACAGCTCCACCTGGAGAAGGAAACCCTGGCACCCGGCCGCGGGTCCCATCGTAAGCCCTCGGGAGCGAGAGTCGGACTCCTCGAGGTTCCGGTGCGGGCATGGGCTGACTGGCCGATGGTGCTGGCAGGGAGGGTGGTGGTGGCGGCGTTCCCCAGCCTCTGATGGTAGTGATCACCTCCTGCAATGCGGTCCCCATCTGCTGGATCTGGTCGCCTTGTTGGAGGACCCTGTCCTCCAGCGTCGCCTGGGCTGCAGCGGCTCCTGCTGATTCCATACTAGGTGTGTTATTCTGTCAAGGTTGGCTGTAGGTGGGTGTATGGGTGGAATCAAGCGCAAGGACACCGAAGTCAATAATCCAAAAGACTTTAGTCAAAATTACCAATAAGGCAAACAGGAAAACTCGCCCGAAGGCGGAACGACGCACGTAGGTGACCAAAACAAAGGCGCACGAAACAGGTGCGTAAATACGCTCCAGTGCAGTGGAGTAGTAAGCTCAACCGAGCGAAAAAGTCAAACGACCAGCAAATACGACAGTACACGAAACAATAACACACAACACCTGACAAACACAACGAGAACTAAATAGGACACTAATGACACTAAATGATAACAGGTGTGAAAACAATCAGACAAAAGCAAACGAACATGAAACATACAACGGTGGCAGCTAGTATTCCGGAGACAACGAACGCCGAAGCCTGCCCGAACAAGGAAGAGAGGCAGCCTCGGCCGAAACCGTGACACTCTGTGAGTATTACATAATGATGAATGTATTTATCTGTATTAATTGATGTTGTTAGCTAACTATTTGTTTCATTTATAGAATATGAAGTATGTCATACATGCACAATAAATGTGGCACCAGATGAGGACGTTGTTTGGTTACACTATGTTTACTGTCAACAGAGGAATGGAGTTGCTGGCCATCGCAGCTTGTAATCAACCAGGTTATAGCATGAGCCCGAGAAACACTAGGAATCTATATAGTGTCATTTTATACCAAAAATATATTTTGATTCAATAACATTTTATAGTTTACCCTTTGCAAGTGATGTCATCCTACGTCATTTATCCAGTTCCTGTCCCATAATCTTTTGAATGGCTTGATGATTATATCATAAAATTCGTGAAAACAAGGTCATATATATCTTTATATATAT